TGTCTCGCGAATATTGACTATAGAATATTATAAATTATGTATTTGTAATTAGTATTATTTACATAGTAGTATTTCTGAAGTAATAAATAGTTTGGGATATTTCAGGAATTTTCTGTGCAATGTACACCATAGATATTCCTTATTGATAATATTAAAATTATCATTACATTATTACCACTGAATAGCAGACTAAGAAATCGACGATGTAATAAATCATAATATAAAGGAAAACTATTCAAAAATAACTTGATCAAATTTACCTCCAAGAAAGAGGTAAGTGAGGGAGAGAGAGAGAGAGAAGCATGGAATAAATGTGTTGGGTAACCTTTTTCTGAATTTGATATTATAAATGAGAAATGAAGAGATGATGCGTTCAGAGAACAGATAAATGAGGAATGGAAATAGGGTTGAAGAGAAGAGAGAGATGGTTAAAATTAGAAATGGGGAAGAATTTGAGATCTTGTTTGAAAAACTGGGTTTTATTGAAAGATGAAATGAGCGACAATAACGCTTGGGCGGAAGGATAGTGACGTATCAAACGGAATGATGCGACTTCTTCTATGGTTATTTTTATTCATCAAACAAATTCATTCCGGCTTTACTCCATGTAACGGTATGTATAGCGGTGTAATAAATTTTAACATTTAAATTAATCTTAGACTAGCATTTAATTATCATTAAAATTATGTCTCATTTAATCTACCACAGTTTTCAGGTAAATATCCGGAAAAGAATAGTTTATGTAAGATATGTTGACACTGTAAATATTGAATATAAATCAGAAATTCAGGAAAATCGCTACTTGGTGGTACATGCGATTGGAATATTGATTGTGAGAATAAAGGATCGATATGTTTACGAGGACGTTGTAGATGTCATCCACATTATGCTGAAATTGTGGATGAGAAAAGAGGTAATCCACACTGCAAAAAATGTAAGCATCAATGCTTTTTTTCCTCATTTTATGCCGATTAAGCATTTTAACTTATACTAACGATTATAAATTTTTAATGCAAAAATATAACAAACAATGAACGTAATGTATTCAGTTATATAATACTAACATCACTTTTATTTCTAATTTTGGAACAAAAAAAAGTAAGAAATGAAAAAAAAAAGGTGGATTATTTTAGTACCCGCAAAAGTTGGCCAAATATGTACCACTAAATGTCGCGAGCCATTATTTTGTCGAAGTGGTCAATGTCAATGTGTTCAACGTGGTACTACAACATTGATCAACGGTCAATGTGTATCAAGTATGTTTATATTTTGCATGAATTTAATTGCATTTACATATTCGAATTATTCACAGATATATAATTATGATATCAATTTCAGCCTAATTAACTAGTAATTAATACTAATCCGATGTATACTATATGGTATAAATGAATAATAAATATTACTTATTTATGCCGTAATTTAAAAAAATTTATTACTAACAGCTATTATTTACTATATAATAATTAGGTTAGCTTAATTAAATTTTTTTTTACAAAAATTCCACACCTGCAATATAGTATTTTCGGGAACTGAATGAATTATTGTTTCAATTTTTCTTTAGCTTATATTATTCTCATTTTAACTTGCAATATAATATGGATTACCAGAAGTGCTAATTATCACAGTTGACTAATTCCTAATTACTGTTAATTAGAATTATAATATAAGCATATATTTTGCATGATTAAGTGAGTCGAGTGGGTGATCGTTGCACGCGGCATTACGATTGTTCCGCACCCTTTTCGGCGTGTCTGAATTCGCAATGTGTATGCATTAGTGGTACCATACAGCAAGGTTCACAATGTATAGCTAAACCAGCCTGTCCACTTGGAGGTCATTTTTCTTTTTAAATTTCTTAGATTTCCTCTTTCTTTTAGCTCATAAGATACAAATCACCAATAGTTATAATAATTACAGGCATTCCTGGCAATGCATGCATCCGTAAGGCAAATCAACATATGGTGGAAAATTTCGTTGATGACGCTGATGATTGCCCACTTGGACAGGTGAACAAAGCTCATCCATCTTTTATGTGGCTATTTTCATTAATTTTGTTTTCATTCCCGCAAATTGTTCGTTCAAGTATGAATACTATCAACTGGACAACGAAACAAAGCAAAACAACATGATTATTTGAAATAAACATTTTCAGATATGCATAACTATTGGTGAATCACCGATGGGACATTGCTGCCCAAAAGTATGTCCGCTGGGAACGTTACCAGAACTTAATTATTCTTGCGATCCCACCGCAAGTACCCGTTGTCCGTCTGATACACATTTTTGCCATCGTGTTTCCGGTACTTGTACCTTATATTAATTATTATTAAATATCTATCATATTTTATTGAATATTTAAAAGTCTTTTTAGATTATCATTAATAACTATGTCATACACTCTTAGGATTATATACACTTGTCCTATCAATTAGTGAAACACCGAACTTTTATGAACTACAATTTTCCAAAGAAAAAAAAAGTAATTTACTATCAATTTTATCTTAATTCAGAAAGTTTTAGAATAAAATGAAAGTGATATAAACTAGTTTAGATGGTGGATTTTCACAATCATTGTGTTGTCGTCGGCCGTGCAATGCTATGGCACCAAAAGCATTGTATATTAATGGCACATGCATGGCACGCGGACAACTTAACTCACAATGTACCGCAAATGAACAATGTGGTGGTGGCGAAACTATGATATGCAACAGGGTAATTTTGCGGAACGAATGAGAATTTGTTGCAGATAAAAGAGGCCGAAAAGAATGCCATCCTTCTGATCATTCCATATTTTTTTTAAAAGAAAAAAAAGGATGATTATGTCATGAATGTATTTCTATAAGAAATGTTTCCGTTTAGGGACAATGTGAATGCTTGGCTGGATTTCATCCACTTGTCGATCCAGTAACACATCCATTACGCAATCCAAGTCAAACCTGTACACGAGATTGCGAATCGGAGACACTTTCCAGAGACACAACCTGCCTAAAGCCAGTAGCACTTGAAGCTCATTGTTTCATCCAAAAACAATGCCCGATAAATTCCGGATGCTACAGGCAAGCGCTTTATAACCAAGCTAAAATGCCAAATATTAGAATTTCGAATAAAAAATGAAGATAAGGAGGAGAGAAAGAGTTTAATAATTGCATTTTAAATGAATAGAACAAGTAAATGCATTTCTAAATTATCTTCATCATGTTTCCTCACTTTTAGAGGTCGTTGTCAGTGCAAGTGTGGTTTTAAAAAGGAGAAACAACGATGTGTCGAGCTACCTCCATCTCCAAAAACAACAAGACAACCATCTGGTACAAATCAAAACTCAGTTGTAATGCCTTTAGTTTTAATGTCTTTTTCTAAACGGTATTCTTAAAATATTTTAATTTCAGTGATGGTACCTGGTACTGTAATCGTACCTGGTGGCGATTTCTTAAGTCTTATTGGAAATTTCTTTGGCGGAACGGAAGCGCGAAGCGCTACCGGCAAATAAGATAGAAGCACTGGTCATACAATACACATTCCCGGGTTTACATTAATGTTGTTCATTGTAAATTGTTGTTGCAAAATCTCTAAAATAAGCCTAAAAACTATTGTTTGACTGTGATTAATCTTCATGAAATAATATGGCAATCATGTTCCCTAATGGAAAGGGTGACAATCAGTCAAATTAGGAAAACTTTGCGATAGATATTGAGAAATTACGATTTATTGTACATAAGCATGTTAGGCCTATGTGTTTTAAGCTACAGTCTCCTCTTCTGATTCATTTCATATCTCCAAGCACTCATACCCCTATTAGCGAAAAGAACTGAAAAAAATATTATTGCTGAAAAACTGATGCGACGATATGCAGTATCTTATTTATCAAATTAACAACCTACCTACCCGAAGAAGATTCATAAAATAAAACCAAAATATATGACAAATAAACAACCAAGGATCTCACGTGAAACAACGTTAAGATGAATCAGTAAGAGTTCCCAATCATTTTCTAACATAGTGTACCGCTGACAGCGCAGACCGACATAAAGTATAAAAGGCAAGTTCATGAAACTAACCGTGAAATCATTTCGTTCCATTCATCTATTATTTACGCTGTCAATGGCTATTAGGAGTGATATAAGTTAGATTAATAAAAAATATCTGTCTATTAAGAGAAGCACAAAAGACTGGATACTTCATCACTTGCAGCGTCTTAGTCCGAAAATTATTCTTTGACGACCATTGGAACGGCAACTTCTTTGACTTTTTCCATCCCAACAAGTAACTCGACCAATTTTAATGCAAATTCTAATGCAGTTCCTGGACCGCGGCTAGTCACTATATGATCCGTTGTAACCACACGATCTTCAGAATATTTATATCCTGAAACTGGGCAAAATAAATTTACCTGAAAAGTTCTCACTTTGGATTCCAGTTTTTCATAAAAGCAGTAAAAGTGGAAGGCACAACGTGTTCCAGCAGGACTTTAGCTAAATTCTGGCATATATCTTTGCATAAAATATATGCAGTTATAAGCTAAAAGGTACGTAATTTGAAATAATATAAGCACAAAACTATGTTTCTGATTGAATATTAGCCTAACAAATAAGCCATAGATTGAATAAACTTACCGCCTTCCACAAGCTTCGGTTTAACACTTGGATGTGAAGTCAACAATATACCCGGAGCAATACCGTGACTTTTTAGAGCGATCGGTGCGGCACATATCGCAGCTATATAACGACCACTTTCGTGCTGAGCTCGAAGTATGGTACCCACTTCATCTGACTGAAACTCAGATTACTTTCTTCTACTAATGTCAACGCAAAGATGCTCATAAAGGTAAACCGACAAACAACAAAAAACACCAATAAATTTTTTAGCAAAAAAAGTAGTGCCTGCATGATTCTTACTAAATCGTAGAAAAATTTTATAGAAATAACACTGCAATAACAGAGGAAGAAATATTCATTCCCCCACTCAAATGAGCATATAGTGTTTAAAAGTATTCCAAGCCTTGAATTGAAAAAGAACGATATTGGAAATATGAATAAGTAATAGTGTAAAATGATGCAAACTTACTGCTGCAAGAGAATTTGCTCCTTGCAAACCACCTGGCAAGATCACAACATCGAATTTCTTATCTGCCACTTCGAATAAAGCCTTGTCAGGCACAATCATCACTTGTCTCGAACATTTCACTACATTTTTATCCAAAAGACCAGCAATAGTAACCTGTAAAACAATGTTCACACAAATACGAAAAACCGAAGAAGCTGGAGTTAAGTAAAGTTAAACAGCTAATTAAGGTAGTACTATTCGGTATGTCCAACACATCTCAATTTATCACTTGAAGCTATATATCAACCATATCTCTGCAAATGTAAATATTAAGTCAAGTAATGAAAAATTAGGTCTAATTTTGATTAAAATAAATATGAATGTCGTCCAAAACCTCAATTCCAGCTCGTCTCAAAACGTCAACCGGAATGACAGTTTCCATTTCTTCGGCTCCTTCAGCAAGTATAACCATTGCAGTTTTTGAAGCCATGTCTAAATAACTCGAAGACAATTATATAACTGAGCCAATGATTATTCTAAAATTCAAGCAACTTATTATGTTGGGTGTTACGCCTCGCATATAAATAAAATTTCTGAATAATTATGAAAAAAAACATTTGGATTACAAACTCAAAATTTTTGGAACATCCAAAAATTTATGATCGGATTAATAAAGACGATTGTCTTTACTACTACGCCGATTTAAACATAGCAGCAAAGAAAATTACATTACAAGAAATGTTATAATAATGACGAATGCTGAAATTCAAGTCCAAGCTGAAATAACGCCAAACACGTTAAAGTAATATTGGATAAAACAATAAAAAAGAAGCGAAAAAAGAAAATAATGAAAAAAAGTAAGTATGCAGGTCCAGAGATTAGATAAAACAAAAAAAAAGTATGTATAGAAATGAGTAAATCTCGCGTAAAATAATATCCCACATATGCGCACCTTACTCACTAACTTATTACAACATCATCAGTTACGACATCTCACGTGATAACGTGCAATTTTCACCCAACAAAAAAAACTAATTGACAGCTCCAGTAGATCTCTTTCGTTAGCGGTTGGCATGGTAACATCTAATGATTCCTTTTTATTGTTTCAAATAGTTGTTTGCTACCATTCTGGATATATATTTTAACTGATATTTGAAACTCTTCAATTTTCGAAAAATTGGATTTCTGAGGCTTCATAAATTTGTCGAATTTTTGAATTCATCTCATTCATATACTAATAGCATTCCATTCAATTAATTGTAATAAATTTTAATGAGATGAAAAATTTGATATGAATGCTGCTAGCTGTCATAAGGAGGAAAATGTGGAAATGTTTAATGAACCTGTAAATTTGTTGATTTGTTTCCATTTATTTGATATGACTTTTCGAATAGTTGTTCCACAAATACTAATTATCTGAGATTTACGCGCAAGCAGCGTCATCTGATGTTTTATTGAAAAAATATCTATCAATTTTTATATAGGCCAACAGATATTATGTAAAGAATTGTATCGAAAACATATACCTGAAGACATATTACCTGATTAATCTAACAATATACGATTAAGATATTTGTTGACTGTATGGAAGTATATTAAACGGTATTTTACATCCTCTAATTTTATTCATTCTATTTACTTTTTACATTTTTCAGTCTTATTATTTTTGCTATTGCCAATAATATTAGTCCATTAAAATCTAAGTTTGTCGTAAAAAAAGGAACCAGTCATCTTTACAGATCGAATATTTCCACAATTCTGATATGTTCGCCAAGTTTCGTTTTGGAATGTATTTTTTACTTGCGTTATTGTTAGTAATTTTAATGTTGCACGGATTACACTTTGAAATGACTCTTCATAACATCTTCATTCTAGCTTAATATTCGATAAGATTATATCATCAGATTGCTAGATTTATCAGTGCCAATACTTGGAGATTTTTTGAGCTTGTGAAAAATAGCTCGCAATCTAAACATGATTTCGAATTTTTATTAAATCATTACGAAAAATAATTGGAAAGATCTTTCACTCTTCTTCCACCTTTATTATCTTATTCTTTATCAGGCAATTTTTCTTCTTAACTGTTATAGATAAGGACATAGTATGTATTAGATGGATATTAGGATTTATACTCATCTCCATAAGAGATTAGGACAGCCAGGGGCGATAGAATAACACAAGATAACAATAACACCGATGTTGCAAAGCAGGGAGAAAAGAAAAAATGACAAGAAAACATGCTAGGATCTACGATGCATATGAGACAGAAGCCTTGTCACAATCTTTTTCATTTGAATTTTTATCTTAATCTAGCTTTTTCTTGATGAATTTATAATGACAATATGTCAATAAATATGCTTTTAGTCGGTGCAAAACAATACCACGCTACAGTGACAGCAGTAGCAATTTACAACCATACATTCTGTATCTGCATTTACCGGAACAGTTAAGATAATTAGTATAACAAAGAAAGCAAAAGATTTTAAAACACCACATGTAGTTTTTCAATACTTACAACATTGCTTGCATAGCAGTACTAATAAATATGAAAAAAGCAAAGAAGTGAAATGTTGAAAATATATTTAAATAGTTAAATAAGCAATTTATATTGCTCACCGGGTAATTATAATGAAACCGCATGATGAATTAGAAAGACATAACAAAGCAGAAATTCTTAATAAAATTGTTACTTTCACATGTGTAGATTACATTAAGATTAATCTTATAATAGTAATAATTTCACTAACAGACTTCACTCTGAATGGTTCTTGCCGATGATACATCAGTTTAGCTAAGTTCAATAATAATGAAATCGGCAGACCAAACGGAACAGTTCAGCAGATCAATATCAGGTTCAGTTATTGCCAGCATCGTCAACATATCATAAGCTACATTAAACAATCAAAGATCTGCTAATTATGCTAATATATACTAATGAGGTATCAGGAAAATAGCGGTAAGCAAAAGAATTAACCATATTAGCCTATTGGAAAAGGATATGTTATGTTCTTTTTCTGATCTCTTCTTTAAAGAGTACTTCGGGTTTGCTCAACACCTAAAATACGCTTAAAATAGGCTGCATTGAGTTGCTCGAGTATGATAAATGTCAGCATAGTATGCGGACCCATACGGAGGTAATAAGGTGTAAAACCTTTCCACAATGAAAAAAATCCCTCATTACTTATGACTTTGGACCATACATCCAATATACCGCTGTATTCTGGCTTCCCATCTATCACACGCATATTCTGTACTCTGAAAAAAGTTCCTAATTCATCATCATCAACGAACTTGCTATCAATATTGGATCAAGATACACTCCATTTCCATTTTTTTTATACTGGCAAACGTTAACCTTTACTGTAAGGATCGGGGTTACATTGAAATCTCTGTTCAGAAGATGTTAAAATACAAATCTAAATGAAAATCAATAAGGAACCTCTCAAAAATTCGAATAAATTCAAGTTTTGAGCAAACTGATTAACCTTGTTTTAACAATATCGATCGGCATCGAAACTATAGTTGTTGCAAGACCACTTATCATGGAGGCCGCGAGTTGCAACATCATACCTTCCTTGAAGAATTTAGGTGATAGTAACGCTTCTTTACTTTGTGAGTAAGTACCTAATTGTGCTGCATTTACTGTCATTGCTCGAAGAACAGTTGGCCCACATCCCTGTAAATACAAATTTATTGGAAGAATTTATCTCGAACCCTTTGAGAAAAGTAAAGCTCCACAAAAACTACGATAAATGTACTTACTCTCCATAACGTGAAAACTCCTTCTTCTCGGACAATACGAATCAATGCATCCAAGACATTTTTATATCGTCGCTGTTCTTCGCGTGGAAGCCTAAATGATAAACTCTTTTGGTGATATGATTTGCTAATAATTTTATTTTGTATATAACAAGGATTTACCGTCCATCGGTACACATTCGAATAAGTGCTACTTCTGCGGGGGTACCGACAAATGATCCAGCAGCGCCAGCAGTTAGACCGATAACAACCTTTGTTGCAAAATTGATTGTTGTTCTGTCTCTTCAAATTATTTTAAATCACAAGTAGTTTGGAAATTTGATAAGTGAGCCAATCACAAAGTCCAAGGATAGTGAATGATATTTCAAAAAAGTAATGTCGAAATGAAAAAGCACTGCAACCATAGTGAAATTAGCTTCTTAATATTTTAGAGAACAAAGCTAGAAGCAATCCAACAATGAAAATTCTAATTATGCTTCGAAGTAAGGAGAAAGGTATCAAGATTTATTCGTATTAAAAGGAGACCAACTTAGTAAATTCCTCGAACAGCCAAGTATAGGTGCCGAGACGAGTTGTCGTATAAGTAGCCTGACGTAGAAGACCAGCAGAAAGGCCACTATAGATCGCGAAAAAACCCTCATTTGCTATGATACTCTTCAGGACGTGTAAGCTTGAACGAGATTCCTTTTTACTACCTAATCCATTAAGCTGCATGCGATTTTTTAGCAAATCCAAGGGTTGCACTAACAAAGTAGCACCCATCCTAAAAGATCAGATCACTAGTTTTTAAAATATTATTGATTTACAGAACTTTATAGAAGCTGACTTTTCAACTTTTCTTGCGCTTGCACTGACTTAAAAAGAGATATATGAACAATAAGAAATAATTTCAGTTAAAAGAGTTACTTGCCCTGCAGTTCCTCCAAACGTAAATTTTACAACATTGGGGACTGTCACTGGTTCCAACTTATCTTTCGAATTCATGGCTTTTCCATCATTCACTTGCAATGGCATTATTTTTTGAACTATTATTGCGATATCAA